GTTTGCGGCGGGGTGGTGTGTCGGACTCGGACCGACTAAAACCACACGGTGTGCCACTCTGCGCCTGTAACAGGAGGGATCCGGGAACAGCTGTTGTTAAGACATCCGGACCCCTCCTAGCGCCAGCCCGCTCCTGGTGCGGGCTCCGTCTCAATATTTTAACCTCTCTTTAGGCGACGTCCGGCACACGCGGACGCCGCCCCCTCGCGGCTGGCCAAACTAATGCGGGTGGAGGGGAAACCCACTCCGTCTACCCTCCAAAGGCATGTCCTACCTTAGCACTGACTGCATCTTGATCATTAGTAAGATTGAAGTCGAGGTCAAGCTAAAAAGCTAAAATGGAGATAGATACTCACGTCTCAGTCAAAGATTGTAACTGGCATTGGAAAGGACAGTCTGTTAAAGTCTCCGCCTTTGTGGCTTGACTAATTACAGGATGGCGTTTATTACAAGAACGCGACCCCGTCCACTAAGAGGTTATGCAAACTCAGTCTCCTTGCCTTTCCAGAATTTTATGGTATTATAAAGATTTAATAATAGGTGGCCTGGGTACCTACACTTAATCATGATATGGGTTATCGGTTGTGATACTTTAGGTTTTAATTCTAATATATGATGTATTTAATGTTTGTTTCTAAATTTCACTTATCAGTCATCCAAACACTTACAATTTTCTCGACTTTTCAATTGTTGACAGATCTGTACGATAATCATGAGACCATCCGCTTTAGAGTGAAGTTTCCACCACTCCCTTTACAAGATAAACTAGATTGATTGAAGGCACTAAAAACTAGATAATTGACTATGCTAGTATAGCGGACTACCAATGTTCAAATTATTTATGTTAGAGGGAGTCGTTTAAATAAATAAATTCGTACTCTATTTCTGCTCAATTTTCCTTCGAATAATGTCAGTTTCGTAGTATGCTGAAATATTTACAAATGTGCATATATAAATATATTATGTAATGTAATGCTGTGATGTAATGTACCTATCCGATATCAGATTTAGAGACGGGCTGAAAAATCCCTTCGTATCTCCGGCTCCCGGAGGACGCCATTGTGGTGATGTAGGAGCCAGGAGCATGTGGTGTTTCCTCCAAAAACTAAGGCGTCCTACAAAGGAGAGCACTCGGACTGCTTTGGCATCACTACGGATTATCTAAATTCTATGTTTTCCAAAATTTTCATCATCATCATTAACAGCCTTTAATATTCCACTGCTGGACATAGGCTTCTCCTTAGAAAGGTTTTGGCCTACTATACCACGCTGGCCAGACGGGTTGGTATAGGATTTGTGTCAAGTTTTACTTCTTTTTGCAGTGCTGGTGCCTGCGTTGTTTTGCGCCCTTAGTCGGCTTTTACGACACCCACGGGATGAATTGGGGTAGTGACATTCCGTATTCTTAAGCCGTCACTACACGGATTCCAAAATTTTATATATGACAAATAACAACAAAAAGACAGAATAATATTGATTTTAAAAAATATTAGGTCTTTAAGTTGAAGATCTGTATGAAAATTTTGAAATAAATAAAAAAAGATTTTTTTTTTAATTTTAGCTAATTAAAGTACTGGCCCAAATTTTCTCCACAATTATGCCATTTTGATGGCAGTTTGTTTATCCCTTTACTGTAGAAGTGTGCTGGACGGGAGGTGACAAAGTCAGCGAAAGCGTTTTGTCCTACCACTCTCAGGTGTTGAATTTCGAAAGTAGAAATCTGTTTTGACAATTTACGGTGAGTAGGGTGGGTGACGCAGATCTTGTAGATTTGCGATGGTCTATCGTGAAGTGTGAGTTCGCGCGCTGTCGTGGAAAAGCATTGGGAAAAAGCGGTTGACCAGTCGTGATGGTTGAATAGGGAGCTTCTCCATCATTGTTTCCAATTCTTGGCAATAGACAACTACCGTCATGTAGGATTTCATATTCGAAAATTGTGCGGATTTAGGTTGATTCATGGCGCTAAAAACTACTACAATTTCACAAGAACAAAACACTATCTAAAAGAGATGACTGAATTTTAAATTAAAATAACATGGCTTTCGAATAAAATTTATTTTGAATTTGGAATTGTGCGCTAATCCACTGATAATTAAATCTGCAAATGCTGAATTTAAAAATCTCTAACTTCATAGGTAAAGACTTATTACATACTGCCGCAGTTTAAGATGGTCAAAAATGTCCGAGCTGATTTTTTGTTGGTGGAAACCGTTACTCGGACTGTATAAACTAAATATATTTTGCTTTAATATGAGTATGTTGTTGAGAGAAGATGTCCACTTACAAAAACAATATTATAGTCGTCAGAAAGTTATGTTGTTAACCGAACTTCTCTCCTATTCCATGGTGTTACGGGCACTTACACTATTTGTGTAATCACAAGTACTATTATAATGTGGTTTGTGCAAAAAAGGACATAAACAGAATACATTTTACTAAGATAAAAGCCTATAACATTTCAACTCTAGCTACTAGTGGTGATTCTTCGTAATCATTTACAAAGGTTGCCTTCTGCGCAGTTAGTTATATACAAGCATCATTTTGTTTTTGAAGTGAAACTTCCTTAGAATCGTTGTGATTTGAAACTCAATGAAACGAAAATACGTCACGATAAGGAAACAAACACATAAATGTATAGGATTAAGTCGGCGAGAGAATGAGATAGAATAAATAATTCACACATTATTGTTAATATAATATTTTAACAGTGTGAATAGTTTTATTTTTTTATTTAATACTAGCTGGTACCCGCGACTTCGTTCGCGTGGAAATTGAAAAACACTGCCATAGTGGGTTTGATTCCCGGGCAAGGCAAAATTTTATAGGGTTTTTAAAATTTCCTAAGTTACTCCTTATATAGACAACTACCTGGTGGTAAAATAATATCAAAATCGGTTAAGCCATTTAGAAGATTACCCGCAACAAACAGATAGACAGACAAACTAAAAACTGGTTTTTGGGCATAGGTATCGTGCAAACCGTGTGAGTATGAAAAAACCTATTATTTTGACATTCCAAACAGACATTTCAATTTTATTAATTTGCATAAAAAATATTTTTTTCGGAAGTTTCACTTCTGCAGTGTGTGAATTGCAATTTTTTGTTACATACTTACTTTGATATTTACTTTTGTTAACATTTGGCGCTTGCTCGCATTTTCTTCGAAACGGGCCTTCGCTTCGGGAGACCGTTTCTTGAAAACGGGAATACAAACCGAATCACTCACATACTCAGCAAACAGCGATCGCAAATCGCAATAGTTATAATTACTCTTTGTGAGACCGAAAGGATAACCTTCAAGTCGCTCCTAAAATAAAGGGTAATGAAACAAAATGCATTTTAAATACATAGTTTTATTAAAAAATGAAAACAAAATCCCTTACACTACCTAAATAAGGCACGACGTGTTCAAACAACCGGTGCGGCGACCTCCCACGACCCGCACCGACAGCGGGGAACAGATACCACACATATGCACGTAAACTTTCAATGACCCTGTACATATATACGCTGTTTACAAATATACAATTATAATGCCACTGCGCAGCGTTATGGCTGGGTAACACTAGCTCACAATACTGTAATTTGGCCGGAAAACATCGATGTACATACAAACATTAATAACGTAAATACATAAATGAGTGCGGTCCGATTGCGAGTTACTGATCTAGTTACGTACGTACGTAGTCGTACCGGTAAAAATTATTCTTTGGATAAAGAATACTGCCGAATTTATGAGTAGGAACGCTGTAGGTTAAATACAAGTAAATTAATGTATTGCTATGTAAACTATTTTATATAGGCAAGTGTACCTAATCGTATTTAGTACACTGACATAGACAATGCAGTCTTTTTTATGTTTGTAAACAGGTCATAGGTTAAAATGATAGTTCCTCTAAAAGTAGTAGCTCGCAAAAGTGACCACATTCTAAATTTAAAAAAGGAATAATACAATATGTAGATTAAACAAGTCTCTTAATTCCGATATGTTATATTTAATTTTTATACTTAGTTGATAGATACACAAGTTCAAGGAAGCAGACTGATATTTTTTAAGCTTTATAAATACAGAAATTTACACAATATACAGAATCTATTTATAAATGTACATGTCAATAATTTTGTGCGTTATAATGCGGGTGTAAGATATAAAATGGCAAAATTTTGCTATAGGTATATATTTTTTTTTATTTCGGGTTTTATAACAAACACGTGTCAAATGTGCCGGGTATAAAACTTGTTATTTTACAATTAGTTAGTATACAGAGTATGTAAATATTTTTACAGCTTAAGCGTGAATATTAATTTACATGTCCCTAAACAATTAAAATGTCTAAATTGAAACAAAATGCAAATTATCTTATTACGAAATAAATTACTAAACCAACATTCGATACACTACTCGCTAAATTTGTAAATAATATAGAAATAATATCTTAATTTGTATGTCTTTGTACCAAATTATGATTTAGACAAAATTTTAAAATTTTGAGCGTTAATATTATAATGAGAAAGGGGTGAGAGAGCATGGATCGATAAGAAATGAGATAAATTAATAATAGCACAGCAGCCGGGGGTCGAAATTATCAAGCTCTTCACTGTCTGAAAAGGTAATTTCACACCCCGTCGAGAAGCATCAACAAAACTTTCCACTGAAAAATTTCGTATGCCGAAAGTAAAATTTTACACGTCTGTGTCTGTACACTAAAACGAACGGGAATGGAAACGGTCGTGACGGCGAATGATTACAAAATTTTATAAGTAAACGTTCACAAGTTTCACAATTTATTGTCTCCGCATATGAAACACGCTTTCGATCAATACAATTTTTTTAAATACTAAAAGGGTAAAAGTGATAACAATAAAAAATGTTTTTAAAAAGGTAGTCAAGACAAATTGTTCTACGTGTCGCAGGCGTCCGGCCGGCGAGGCTCAGCGAAGGGGGGCGAGGGGCGCGGGGTGCGCGGGGGCCAGCCCCAGCAGCGCGCGCAGGCCGAGGGTCAGTAGTGCTCCAGCTCGGCCGCGCCCGCCGCCGCGCCGTACACGGACGGCGGCCTGCCACACACGACACACGTCACTCGGGACCTCACACCACTACAATCTCCTCTTTGCTTTTAGGTTTTTACATTTACGAGGCTGATAATCTCTCTACAATAATCTTAATTAGCGAATTAAGCAGCGACAGAATTGCACAGGTTTTCTGTGAGCCACGGCCTCCCAGAAAACCGGTGTTAAGCCTTCTAAGTTTTTAAATAAAGGACAACTCCCGCATCAGGAAATCCAGAGACAAAACAACAACAACAAAGAACACCCAGACTCAGAACAACAATTTTTAGATTAAGTGTTGTGCCATGCGGGCTTCGAACGCACAACACTCAGCGCAGTAGGAAGCGGCGAAGTGACCCCTCAAACTACCACGCCATCCATCCACGTTTAAAAAAATTAATGGCACCCAAAGCAGACATTGTACGAACACATCAAGAATAAAAGTTTATGACAATGGTTAATTATTTTGGGAGTCCTTTGTGTCCGTATTATCTATGTTAGTAAAGTCCGCTGCGACACAGAATTTATTCCTAGTGCGGAAGTTGTATTTTTAAAATATAAATCATTTTGATTAGATTCTAAAGTTTAACGAATAGACAGAATTATATTTAATGAACATAGCTTTGAAGTCTGATCATATCACCAAAACATACAAATCTGTATCATGGGCCACAAATGTTTCTATTTTATTTTCTTTTAAGTAGTATTTAATGTTATGATATAAAAAATATTGAGATTACCGTAACGCTCTCCGAGGTGCAGGAAGACGGGAGGGTCGTGGTAGTGCGGAGACGCGTACCTCGCCTGTCGACGGCCGAGGCTGGTCCACTACTGGAGCCGCTGTAATAAATGTATTACATACTTAGCAACATATAATAGAAAGAACAAATGTTTCAAATCTTGAAATAACAACAACAACTTGTGGCTAAGTCCACGATTTACAATATTGTTAATTAAAGCCGAAAATCGTAAGAAGTTATGATTTAGTCCAGCTGACAGCGGTGCAAAATTATTCAATTATGGGATGAGGGTAATGGAAAAAATGTGTAAAAAAATATTTTTTTGTAGATTTTATTAATTAAAGAAGGTCAAAGCGGTTAGTAAATATTTGTAAACCAAATGAATTAATACTTACGTGGCGCAATTTTATGTATGGGGCCGGAGGTAGGTCGTGCGCTGCTCCGAGCTTGGGACGAGCTGGCTACAGAGCTGGGGCGCGTTGTTGAGGGCTGTAATACGTCACACTTACACATAAAGATCATTAATGATATTTTTTACTGATTTAAATTTATGTACAGGAAACGGTTTGAAACTGCGTAAAGAAAAATATGAAGAATGATACGAGTAGAATGGAAGAAGAAACATCCTAAGCCAACCACAATAAAGTACGGAAATAAATAATTTACAATAGATATATTTACAACGGATATATAATGGATAAGTAATGTTCTATCTACATAGAAACTATACCTACAGCAAAATGGTATAATTATTTTAAAGTATGAAATCAGTTTTGTATCATTTTCTCACGAATTCGTAGAACTGATGTTAATAATATGCTTATCCTTATACATATAATCATTCTGTACGTATATATGTGACGGAACGCCTCGAAAACGGCTGTACCGATTTTAATGGGTTTTTTTGTGTGTTCTAGAGGATTCAAGAATGGTTTAGATTTCACAATTTGGGCCACTACAAAATGTTTTTTAAGCTATTGCATAGCTTCTATGGAGGGCCTTGAGCGCGGGGACCGAATCCAGAAATTCCGTAACGAAAAAAAACCTCACGCTAAAACAAAACAAAAAACAGTACCAAAATCAAATGCTGAACGTCAAAGGAAATTTTTTATTTATTTATTTAAAAACAAATTGTAATATATGCTTCAATATTTTTATTTAGTAAAAGAAAAAAAAATGTTTTCTTATCGGTCACCACGCTCAAAAAGTGTAACTTGAATTAATATCAAAGAAAAAGAAATACTGCATAAATAAAATAAATAAATAATTATAATCGCATAAGTTGATACAAAATGCTATGCAATAGCTTTACCGCGGCAGTCCCCGAGTGCCACACGTCTTTTTTTTTTTTTATTTAAGACGTGTGTACAGGACAACGTCTATTGGGTAAGCTGGTTTATTTATAAATCACTCGAAATGTGTAACAAATTATAAATAAAACACTAAGGTTGTTACAATATCATTTAAATAATAACATGAAACGTACGCACGTCTACGTATTTATAATCTTTTTATAAACGCGTATCTAATGCTAATATTTAATAATAACAACTAATAAAAATCTTGTGAATTAGTATGTTTTAAGGCATGTTGTCATTGATGCAATTTAGTACACAACTTAATAACAATAAACAAAATAGCATAAAATAAATTAGGTAATTGACAAATTGTTTTCCAAATTTTGATACAGTTTTAAAGCGACACAGTTTCCGCCAGAATTAAATATGAAGTACAGTTACATTTGAGCAGAAATATCAGAGGATTGATATTGATATTTCGATTTCAAATTGATAAAAGCTAAACTCTGAAAATCGAATAACTGAAGAAGTCAAATATACCTAATATACCTCACACATCCCACACACGGCCGTCTGATCCCAAACTAGGCAGAGCCTGTACTGTGGTAACCAGACTGCTGATAAACATACTTATATTTTTTTGAAATACATACATATTATGGATAAATTACACGCAGACACAGCTGTGTGAAGCTATACCTAATATACCTTACACATCCCACACACGGCTGTCTGATCCCAAACTAGGCAGAGCCTGTGCTATGGTAACCAGACTGCTGATAAACATACTTAAATATTTTTGTAAATACATACATATTATAGATAAATTACATCCAGACACAGAACAAATGACCGTGCTAATCACACAATTGTTGTCCTGAGTGGGAATCGAACCCACGACCTCCGGCTTAGCAGTCAGGGTCACTAACCACAAGACCAACAAGCCCGTCAAAGATGATGATATGATATACGAGTATGATGAAGTCATCGTAATCAAGTTTGGGCAAGCTTTTAAATTAGTTTGCCTTATAAGGTAAATAATTTAGAAGATTTCCCAAAATTTGAGTAGGAATCTACTAGTGGATAGCGAACGGATAGTACGAGGGTCTGAAAAACTGAAGTAAACAATCAGTTCACGCCGAAAATATCGTGTTATTCAACTGAACAAGAGCTTCGTTAGTCAAATTTAAAAACTGGCCAATATTGGTAAAGGCTGGCTTATATTTGGTAAATAAAATATTGACATTAACATATACTTACATAAACGTTGAATAAAAAAATAAGATAAATAAAATTGTTTTCAAATTGAAGCGAAGCTCAGTCATTTTTACTACGTTTGAAAGTAACAGAACAGCTATAGTCCATCAACGTCGTGCGCGACCGTCCTGCGGGGTGACAGACGGTGGCGGGGACGAGGTACTCAAGATGTCAGCGGGTAGCGGGTGGTGTAGCGGGGAAGGGAAACGCTTATCTTCGTGTGTAGCTGTGTGCTAGAATGACGCGCTACCTCGCCCCCGCCACTGTCTGTCACCCCGCGGGACGGTCGCGCACGAGATTGCCGGGTTATAGCGTAGTAAGAGTATTAAAACAAATTGAAATGACAAAAATATTGCATAGAACATAAATTGCATTTAAAGAAGTAAATAGTAATCAAAATTACAATAACACAAGAAGACACTAGACATCTCAATCGACGTTATTACTAAATTATTGGAATATAAAAAAAAACTGATAATGTAAATTACATCAAAATTAAGCAGAGGAATGAGGTGAAAATTACAAAAATAAACCAGACATTTATTATCATTTGTATAAAAAATCATATAATATAAAGTAACATTATTTTTTACATGATAAATTGAAGGTGATAAAATATTACGATGAGAAATACCTATGTTATTTGTCCTCCTGTATGTTGATGCAAGCATAAACACCACAAGATAATTACTACTACTGACACTATACTACCACTACACATTCTATTACATGCTTGGTTAAAATGAAATGTGTTACAACTGAGAAAAGTACTATCAAATATGGGGTTTAGATGTAGAAATAAATAGAGAATATAAACTACGACAGCAGCTAAGAAGTCTACAGATGTACAACAAAAGGTGAAGAAGGAATTATTTAAGAGAAATAGCCAAATGTGAGTGCGAACAGAATATTATTATACATAATGAATAAGAAGTCGAGCAGTGAATTGTATCGTATGTTGGCACGAATGTGCCCTACGGGTCACTGCTCCAGGTAAACGAACAAAGACTCACAGGCATGTGAAGGGTGCGCATGGAGACGGGCACGCCGCTGCCGGGGACCCGCAGCTGCACGGGCACGGTATGCTTAGTCACGTTAGTGTGCCACACCATCGCTACGGTTACAACTTCAATGCTTTGCCCACATTTGTTGTCTTATTTCCTTTTCAAAATTTATCATCATCTTTCCCTTTTTAATTGAAATAATAACATTCTAATGTGTTTTTACTATATCACGCTTTGAGCGAACCTTTTTGAAATTTTCCACACATAAATTTATTAAATGAATATTAAAGTTCTTAAAGTCTTTTAATCCATTATAACCTGTACCCTGATCACACAAATAGTCACCACATGTTAAGATTCGCATTGAAACTGTAACCGTTTATGACATTAGTATGATCACATTGAAAGTATGGTAGACACAGTTAAACACATTTTAAATTAATATAAAAGACACAATTAGAACATATTTATTATAGTTTATCCAGCACCAGTATCGATGGAGATTAAAATCCGATCTAATCTGTGATATTCGACTATACGACAAACAATGACACAGGATTATCTACTACTTCGACAAAGATTTTTAGCAGGACATACAATACAACGACAAAATAAATACGTTTTTAAATTCATAAGTGTTACGTAACCGTACGTTTCGAAGTAGGTTCGAATTAAAGCATTAATAATAACTGGCAAAAAAAAACAACAGTGTTGTCAACAAATCATACAAAAAGTATCTGTTGAATGTTAATCAACAAACTGTATCAGAATCTAAAGATTTTAGATTAGACTGGATATTAATATCGCCTTTAAATCGTTAAACACAAACATGGCATTGATATAAGTAAGATTTGTTTGCTTAGTCCGTTTAATCTAACGAATTGCGCAAGGGGTCTGCACCATAGCGTAGATTATACAGTGTGTGTGAGCGCATATGAATTGTTTTATTTTATGGACGTGTTCACATCAGTATACACCCATATAGCTAAAGGGGTAGGTATATATGTATTAAACTTTAAACACACATTTTGATGATTTAAATTTGGTCTCACTTAAGTTAAGGGGATACGTCTATTGTCGTCGAAAGAGCATTATGCGAGTAAAGACAGGGTTAACGGGAGTATATGGAAAGGGAAAAATAATGAAGAAGGAAAAAATTAGTTGAGGCGGAGTACTCGAGCAGGTAGTCGCAATAGTTCGAGCCATCTTATACTCTATGTACGTCAAATTATGTTACGAGTATCGTTTATGTGTATGAAGTTTTAATGACGGTTAGGCACGGCGATATTTTACCGCGCGTTTATTTTTTGCAAAATTTTTGCATTGTAACACATGGGATCTATTAGGAATTTGATTCAAAATGAACGCCATAGGATGGCGATATATTGCCACAGAATTTTGACGGGGTTTAAGTAGAAGGCAGTGGATCATGAAAATAAATGCTCACATCTCTGGGCGCGACGAGCTGCGAGTGGGGCCGCTCCCGGCGCAGCGTCTCCGTGCCCTGCCGCACCAGCGCGGGCGGGGCCGCCGCCTCGCCCGCCGTAGAGCTCTTGTCGTCCGCTTTCTGGGACAAACAATACGATATTGTCTTAATCATGTCTTCATAGATTTCTTTCAACAGTAACGTTTCAGTTTTCACTGAAATGTAACTCGTTAAGAAACAGGAATATTATTTAACGATCTACTTTGAATTTATTTCGAAACATTTATTATTCATTAAGGGATAAATATTCACAAAAAGTACTAAGAGCCATTAATTTAACAATTTACACATTAGTGACGAAAAACAATAAAGCTATCACTGGCTGTCACTTCCAAAGATAAATTGTTTCGAAAAAAATTATAATAAAGAAACACCTATAACGTTAAATTTTTAAAAGTCAATCGTCTTCATTCCGTGCGGTGACGGACTAAGAATACAGAGTGTCACCACCCCTATTCATCCCGTGGGTGTCGTAAGAGGCGACTAAGAGAGCGAACTACGCAGGACAACAGCACTGCAGAGAGAAGGAAAACTTGATACAAACCCTATACCAACCCGTCTGGCCATCGTGGTATAGTAGGTCAAAACTTCCTTTGTAAGAAGAGGCCTATGTTCAGCAGAAGACTATGAAAGGCTGTTGATGTGATGATATAGTTTAGGGTTTATTTCAAGTTTTCTTTCTCTTGGCATTGCCTTGCTGAATTAGCTCCCTTAGCCGGCTCTTACGACACCCACGAGATGAATAGGGGTGGTGACACTCCGTATTCTCAATCCGTCACCACACAAACGCTTTTATACTGAAGTATATTTCTATATAGGTTGGCAAAACATTGAAACTTCCATACCTGGTAGTTGGCGATGGTATAAGAGTCAGTTACGACAACGGGAGGAGCTGCGCTCGCGCTGGAGGTGGGCGACAGCGCGGGGTTGGACGCGTACACGCCGCGCCGCACCATCGCGCGCCCGCCCAGCGCCAGGCCCCGCGACGCAACTGCCAAGCCTGATATCGGCTGAGCTGAAATCACGAAAAATAATTTCATTATGTATACACACATAAGAAAAAAAGAAAAATAACAATCAAAATGAGTGTGAAATTGTAGTGTTTTGTTGCAAGGAATAGTGTAGTTGTCTGTTACGAATTTAAGTGTTGGTTAAGGGTTTAAGTTGGCAATTTAAATATTTGACTTAGAAATTAGATTATTTATTAAACCAAGCATTAAAAATAAGTGATGTGACGATAAGAAAATACCGTATAAATATCCACAGAACACTTACAGTTTTGACGTGACATTCAGACAATTTTACTTCGAAATTTATTAATATTTTTAAGAACAGATTTACACACTTCTAAACAATTATATTGCATGTTTAATTTTGTGACCCGTCCTATATTTTTAATGAAGAATTAATCAAATTTAGGTAATGAAAATAATGTTATGATAATGGCGGAACAAGCGTTTAAATCAAATAATTCTACTTTAATATAATAAGAAAATAAAATACCTAAAGAATTCCAACAACGTGACATACTCACCGGGAGGTATTCTGTTAAGTTCTCTATGCGAACTGTACTGCCTCAGTTTTGATGTCGGCAAACCTGTTTTTCTGGGCACGGCCATTGGAGGAATCATATGACCATATGTTACTAAAAACAACAAAAAGATGCGAAAATAAAAATAATATGATATGAAGATAGCACCGATGTCATTACGATAATGTGATCATACTTCCCCTCAGTAGTGGCAAGGTATCTACGTTTCGCTTCCACCAAGCCCAGGTCTAGTGGTACGATTAAGCTATTAATTTATAAAATAGGTAAAAAAAACAACCTAATGTCTTTTTCTGTTTTGTTAGTCAATCTTTTCTTAAAGTGCAGTAAATATCAAACCCGATCATTACCCGCGCTATAATGATGTAAAAGTGACAGTCATGCTAGGTAGTGTGTGTAGTAATTTTTCTTAAACTAAATTCTGGTTTCATACTCTTTTCTCACTCACTCTCCAACAAAACTTCAGCGAGTTTATTCATGTAAAAATAGTCAGCAAAAGCGCTCGGTAACGCTTTGTATGAATTATTTTCTCAAGTATTAATTTAATAACGTTACCTGTAGCTGTCGAGGGCGTTTTGTTACACACTGACGATGGTGACTTCAAACCACTGACGGGCGGCTGTATTCTCTTCTCAGTAGTAGTTTTCCCCGCCAAAATATCCCTTTTGACTAAACTCTTTTTCGCCGTCGGTACACTACTTATGATCGTAGTATTGTGCATATCGAAGGTGCGTTCCATAACCGTTGTGTTAGTGGAAGGGACTTTAGGGATAGCGTATGATTTGTCATCCAGAGTATCGTAGATAGGCGATATTGTGTTGTGTAAATCTAGCAACTCGTTCTTGGACCCTTTCCGTAGTGACATTAGCGGTGTTGATGCTATCTGTGAGCCTGCAATTGGTGGAGAGTCTGTGTTTTACAAGCATTTGACGTTATAATAGATATATATTAGGATGCCGTTATGACAACCCTACTGCGACATGACAAGTTAAACTAGTTATTGCAAGGAACAATCTGTAGTCAAATCATAGACTCGTTCTTGCATATTTATATATTTTTCTTATGTAGCCGCTTTAATAATTTTCTTTTAAAACGCTTTAAAACTTTTAAGCAAACAAAAATAAATCTACCATTTTTGTTTCGCAGTGATAATTTTATATTTTATTAATTAAATTAAAATGCCTTAGTCTTCTAGTCAGATAAATAAACCGAACTTTTAATTTGTTTATTTATTACCATAGAAAGAAGTTCATTGGTTTACATGATTTAGTTCGCTGTGATATACCGCATTTTTCATTAACATACTTTAGTAGTCCACTGCTAGACATAGGCCTCTCCTGAGAGTTTACGGTGTACAAATTATAATTATATTTATTTACTAAATTCAAAGAACAAACAGACCCAGGATATCAGTGCAGTGCAGACCTATTGCTCATAGGACCATCAGTCTTTGCCCCAAATCCTTCTTCCCATAGACCAATAGCGCGGACCCATTTTTCAATCCGAAGCGATAAAACCGATAAAATATACACTTACGTGGATTATGTATTGGTATTGTATCAGGCACGCTGTCCGGTGGACTCGAGGAACTAAAGGTGCTCGTATCTGTGCTTTCGCCCGACACCACCATAGCTCGATCTTGAGAAGTCCATTCCTGAAATATTCACAAAACAGGACTGAATTAATATTTTTTTTTACTTATTCTGTGGATGGTATTTAAATGTAGGCTGTCTAATCATCTAATTTGACCTCTGTTAATAAAGGTTGTTGAATCGACTACAGCAAAAGAAATGTCAGAACGCTGAAATTAATCGTACTTGGCAAGTTTTAATTTATTTTGTGATTACGAAACTAATCACAAAATAACTGAACTTATTTTCACAGGAGCTTTATTGGCAAAAAAAAAGCTAATGGTACGAGGAATAAGTTAAACTACTTTTATTTTAGGGAAAGAATCAGGATTTTCCACGTAAGCGTTAAAACAAACAAAATGTGCAACAAGTTATGTGCTAATATTATTATGAATTTGTGAATATTTATCACTCTTAAACAAAAGTAATTAAAATGTAGTCACGTTAAAGTTTACTTTACCCTTATATCCTGTGCTGACGTTCTCTCACTGCCGTCAATCAGGTTCAACGTAGCAGAATTTATATCTATTATATTATTGTCCTCTGTCTTCACGTATACAACCGTTGTATCCATAGCGTTTGCCCTGGGTGATAGCTTTTTGAACGTAGCATTCCTTTTTGGAGGCTCTCTAATAGGCTCTTCTGGTTTATCGAATCCGTTGGTGTTAGCGTTCATTGCTCTCCGCCGCGAAAGTAATTCTGAAGCGTTCTCTATACTTTGCCGAGGTACTGTGATGGTTTGATTCGGTAACTGGATAGTTTTTATTGGCGATGTGTCCGTTTGGTTAGGCAAAGACTTTTCCGGCTCGCTCGGTAGTCCTTTTCTAGCTAACGAAAGTTTTTGGCGAGCTTGTATTATTTCATTCAGCTCCTGCTTCCCCAAAGTAACGTTAAGACTATTTCTGGCTATTTCTTCTGGTTTCTGAAGGCCCATATCTTTATAGAAGGCGTCGTCACGTTCAAAGTTTTCTTTCTCAGCGTCATTGGCTTTTATGAATCTATTATTAGAATAGTACGTTATTGTTTCACCCATATCAGGGTTTTGTTTTTGGGTATACTTAGGGGATTCTTTGTTATCACAATTTTCGTTTAGAACTTTTCCAGTATCAATTTGGCAAGCTTCTTCGCGGGCTTTGGTGTAACTTTCAGAGTTTTTTATGCCAGGTTCACGTTTAGTAAAACTGTTGTAGAGATTGTGTCTTGGTCTTCCTGTAAGGAGTCTTTGTTGTGATTGTTCTAAGTTTGTAAAAGTGGCTGAACTGAATATATTAGAATCTGGACTGTCTTTTGTTTTGGATGTGGTGCTGTTGGAGATGACATAGGATGAATTCACTGAGCTCACTAAACTGGGAGGTAGAGAGTCAATGAGGCTGTCATTGTCAGGATATGTGGTCTGAGAAAGAAAGCTTGTACTCATGTCCTTTTCGTCAAGAATACTTAATGTCATGCTGGTCATCATTTGATCAATACTTTCTCGACCTGACATTGGTGGCCCTGTAAATAAAAAAAACCGGAGTTAATCACGTTCGATTGATAATGTCTATAACTTAATTCTAATTATTATTATTTGCTTTAAACATTTAAATAAGTTATTTTAGAAAGTTACGCTCGCTGAATTACCCGACTCTTTATGAGGAAAAGATTTTCGGCCGTCCATAGACTCGGTGTTAAAGTTGCCTGAACTCTCCATGAGTAATGATGAGACGAGGCTTGGAGGCGACATTCGCATCAGTGACTCCCCACTTTGGTACATGTTAAGGCTGCCGCGCTCTTGTATGATGTTTGATAAACCCCTGTAGAAAAGATTAATTGTGTTTATGTTCGAAGAATTTATAAAAAACTTATTTTAGCGTCAAGTCAAATAGTCAAATCTGCAGTAAATATAAACTCATGGTCTTGTCAGCAGTCCGTTTTAGAGAATGACTTGGTTAAAAAGTAAATCTTACAACTAGTATGCGTATAAAGTTTATTATAAATAGCCCGTTGATTTTTTTTAGTTTCTAAATAAAAGCAAACCATTTCACTTACAACCTTCTTGAAGCTGAAACATTGCAAAAAAAATAACCTGAGACAATCTCGAGTTGCATATAAAATTAAATAACAAAAAATAAACAAATATATATATATTATTACTGTAAGTACAAAAAAACTATTAATATTATATTATATTATTATATAATATTTAATTTATTTAAAAACTTTAAAAATACCCTTAGTTTCTAAATAGATTTCGAAAAACGTTTTAAAATTGAAACCAGTAACCGCTTAAAAACATGAGTTTTTATATCTGCAGTTTTTATTCCTGCCTTCAGTCAATGACATGCTCACACATAAAAGCGACAAAAAGCCAACCTTAACCGATACCATACAGGCCAGAAGCGATATAAAAACATAATAGACGCTGCAACGTAAAATAAGCTTATATTTAACCTAAAACAGTGCAGCGCCATGTTCTGCGGTGACGTAACACTGTGAAACCGCCTTTGCGCATGCGCCACATTGAGGTAAGCACCTGTTATCCACCTGGGTAAACATTACATGCAAATAGGTAAGAGTGTCGCATTTGAAATGTTATACATTATTAATATAATTGATTTTTATTTTGGGAAAAGACACCAACTGCAAGGGGTTCACCACCGACAACTAAGAGTTTATACATATACTAGCTAACCCGGCAAACGTCGATATGCCAGGTCAACTAGTTTAAAAAATTAAAAAATAACATTGTATGGAGTCCCTAGCTATTTTTTATACCCCTAGGTGGTTAGCCACCTAGGGGTATAAAAAATAGCTTACGACCTATTCTCAGACCTACCAAATATGTACAAAAAAAAATCGGTAAAGCCGTTTCGGAGGAGTTCGATAACAAACACTGTGCCACGAGATTTTTATATATAAGATATATATATTTAAAATAAAAGGATAATATTGTTGAGACTTATTAAGCAAATTTTTATAAAGATTCAAGTTCCATGATTTATGGAATATACATACATATATAGAAAAGCATGTTACGTGAGTTTTTTTAATCAAACTAAGTTAGTAGACAAGCACTCGGGGATGTTATAAACACTCACAATACCAATAGTGGTCGGCAGTATTCACCATGGTTTTCGACCCTAAGCAAAACCAACGATCATACTAATACTGACTTGAGTAGGTTCGGCGGCAGATCGGCAATCTTAGCTTGTTTAATTACAAACAGGTTATATTTTCTTTTTTATATACCAAGAATTTTATGGTCAAACGTTCACATAATATAGGACCTTTTAATTTATTTCTGGGACCTAACCCTTGTGCCCTATGATCAGGAAGACATAGGTCAAGATTCCGGTGACGGAATGTCTAGTACTCTTCTGAATCTGTGAAATATCAAAATCGAGCGCCCCAAAAAAAAATTCGTGGTATGAAAACTTTTATGTTCTCTGACACCGCACCTAGCCAAGTCTGTTAGTAGCTTGAATACACAATAATTATTTTATTTGTTAGTTATAGAGACACAAATATCACAGATTAAAACAGATAACACTAACAATTATATTAGTTACCAAACCAGATAAAAGTAGGTTTTGCCTCTTATAACGTGATAAAAAGCTTCTGGTAAGTAAATCTAAATCTCTTTAAAGATTTCGTAGAGGATGATAATAATCTTTCTTTACCGCGCACCCTTTGAAAAAAATCTGTTAAACTTGTTGAAAAAGTTGTCGAGACGAGGTATAAAAAGTTTATTTACCAAAAATTGTTAGACACAAGCTCATTTCATAAAATCTATCTTTATCAATTCTTGACGCTTCATGGAAGGCTGTATCCGTAAGTAGAAATATGTTAGTTAAACTCTAAGGTCAAACAATTTACCTATTTATATATTTTTTAACATTTTAACAATATTATTTTATTCGCGCGGCAATAAATTGCGTATTTCTTTCGAAAACAATTTATGTAGCATTTTAGTGCAATGAATAAAATAGTTTCTAGGTCAACTTTAACTACTTATAACACACTATTGTCTCTATTTAAGTTTACTAATAAAAGTAAAAGTAATAGCAATTGTAAAGAATTATTAGCAAAGGTGATACTTTCATAACTCAAACGGCTTTTACTACTTTCTCTATCGGTTCTGGGTATTAACAAAGCCAATGCTAAGTCATGCACACTAATTAAATAGGCTTTAAACTTCTATTTTGTTTCTATGATGCAATTCATACTTTTAAATCTAAGACTCTTTAGCTCAATTTAGTAGTAGTAGGTTCCTTGCGCAGTAAAATGGCGTAAGTTTTTTTCTGTGTAAAACCCCCTTGAGCTGTTAGCCATTAAGGGTTCTCATTGGAGCGGTATGTCGGAATCGACCCAACCAAATCCACAGAGCAGCCCCATACTAAGCCTAAAATAGAGTAAGATCCGGGAACAGCTTTCATTAAGATATCCGGACCCTTCCTAGCACCGTCACACAAAGACGCAGGCACTACCTTTAAGTAAATTTTCAAATGTAAAAAATGGTTGGTTACAAGTGTGTTACAAGTTAAAGATTTTATTCTGTAATACTATGAAAGAGAAATTAATTTTGTAATGAGGTTAATTATGATTATTAGGTCAATTACGTAATATAGTTACGATATAAATATTCTAATATAATAGAGTACATCTTAGATGGTATAACTTTTACTACTACGCACCAAAACAGCATAAAGATGAACAAAACCAGCATAAAATTACGCAAAACAGTTTAATTAATACGATGACTTTTTAAACTTAAGCTTTATCTTAATAATAAGTTAATAACTGAATAGTGAGAAGCAGAAGTTGAACCACACACGCCGACATTTTTAAATGTCTAATGTCGACAATTATATTTAATACTTCATAATAAACCAACAAAGAAACTAAAGACAATTGTGTATAATATGGAAGTCGTAATTGAAAACTGTAACATCTTATAAAGTATAACATACCTATTATTTAACTAACGTTAGATGAGAAAAGAAATAAACTTTATCTAGGTTCTTTCTCGTTTTGTTTCTTCAAGGAGGTAATAAACAGCTATTTTGTAATTGGCATTGGGATACAATCTTTCGAAAGGATTCACATTACACTAAACAAAAACGTGGTTACCTAACATACGACTATAACATATGTCCGTTGACTGATGATTTAACGACTTAGTAGCATTCATTAAAATTACGAATGATTTTCATATCTGAACCAGCTTCTATTTATGAATTTTCAGTCTTAGAAATGATTAATAAAATCTTATATCATCATTATTCCAAACACTACAAAGTAAAATAAGACATCATAAGAAGAAAATGGTTCTTACTATGTATATAAAATCATATCCTATTTACGCAAGGGATAGAGTTATAGCGGGAGCGTGCAGTTATCATTGGTCATAAAGATTCTTTTGTCAAGCTTATCGAGTCAATGAAAATGTTGAAAATGTCATATTTATGTCATGTCGTAAAGTGCATCATCTCCTTACACATCTACAGACAAATTTTATAAAAATGTTGCGGTGACGAAGCTTATTTCATATACGTGCGTTGCCCTAAATGAAGGTAATAAAGGACATTTTATTCAGAAAAAAGTCCTTATTGTTTTTTTTTTAACAACAACCGCGTTAGAAATGTGTATATCCTGTGTTGTGGGGGACTTTACAAACATACATGAAACAGACATAAAGAACATCCAGACTCAGAACAACAATTTGCGGATCACACAAAGTGTCGTCCCATGTGGGGATCGGACCCACAGCACACAGCGTAGTAGTAAGCGACGTGGCGACTGTTTCAACCACTACGCCATCCGTGTAGACAAAAACTTATATTACTAAAAACTTATTATTGAGTAAGAATTCGCGAAAGTTTATAACATAAAAGAAAACAGAAATAGAATTGACGAATTGAAACAACTTGCTTTCTGTAAAATGAAAGCTTTATTTAAGCATTAAAATAACTTATTTTTTTTATTTTTTCGAATTTAAATAGTACAAACTAGGTTCCTTAACAGAAAAAAGTAAAAGTTTTTTTTTTCGATGCTCGGTAAAGATAGAAACGATCACAAAATTTATTTTAAATTAGCTGTTCCCTGCCACGCTTCGCTGTGGCACACTGTGGATGCAAAAAATAGATAAAAACCATATCTAAAACTTATCGTATATCATGTCAAAATTTGAGCTCAATCGGTGCAGACCTTTTTGAGTATTTGAAGCGTTTACAGACCAATTTAACATTTGTTTATATATACTAGCTGATCCGGCAAACGTTGTATTGCAACAAAAAAAAATTAGGAATGGGTCACCCTTACCATTCAAAATTGTGAATCTAAACCATTCCCAGATCCCCTTGAACACACACAAAAAATTTCATCAAAATCGGTCCAGTCGTTTGAGAGAAGTTCAGTGACATACACACTCACAGAAGAATTATATATATAAAGATATAGATTGAAAGGATAACGACTGATCTGGTCTGTTTGGTAGCAAATATTCAGTTTTCAATATATGTTTCTCTGACAGAGATAACTGTTTTTTTTTTTCTATTTTAGTTTTTTTGTCTCGACTGCGATGCTAATACAAAAAAAAAACACGTTATATTTTAAATATTCCACTAGTGAAACACTACGTACGTATGTCTGTATATCACATGCTTTTTTAAGATTAATGTATTATTAGTAGAGCGATCCGTCATTTCATTCACATTAGTCTCCCTATGTTCACACAAATATTTTGGCATTCTCGAGTACAACACAAGTACATAGTCAAGGCATGTTATACCAGTACAATCTATCTACGTAACAGGTTAGATGTATGACTTACTTGTTGAATGTATTGTGTAGGTTGTGTGCGGGCTGTGAGAGGTCGATGTTGATCGGCTTTGAGGGCGTGTGGTCCATTGACGATCGCCCCGAAGCCAACGTTACATCCATATCTTCCAACTGGAAATCAATAACAAAATACTTGAAAATTGAAGATGTCGATTTTATATGTGTCTATGATGTTGTGGGCGCCATTATGTTTTTAAAAACCTAACTTTACGGAACAAACGGTGTAAGCAGCAGCAACACATTGCCAACTGACATAATTATTCATTTTAGGACCAATAACGTGCTTTTCGTTATTTTTCAAGTGGTTCGAGTGAAACAAATTTATGACATAAATGATCATGGCTTTTGATTAACATTCATTGACAGCTCCAAGTAATAATTGATTCTTATCTAATATAATAAGTTTGAGTTTATCCCGTTAGTAAAGAGTAAGGGATCCTTAATTATCGGGTAGCGTCACCGAATCAGTCTTTTATAGACTGAATTTTGCGTTCCGCGTGTTTCCCTTTTTATTTTCCCCAAAAGGTACGAAACCATATTGGTGTTTCTATTTGGAGATTGTTTTTACAAGGTATACATCTATACGTTTACATCTATACGTAATTTAACGCTAAAATACTTAATTTATTTTTTAGTTTGGGTTGACAGTAGTACTCGTAAATACTTTTACATGGATGATTTATTTTGTATTCGTAATAGATTTTCTTTTTTTAATTTGAAAAAAGATTTGCAAACATATTAGCAATTTGGTAATTGATGCCATTGACTTAAACAGTAACAGGAAAATGTCAGTTCTCATAACACCTAACAACGACGTATAGAAGAAAAAAAACCTTGACATGCACGCGAGAACTACTAGTAATAGTTGTAATAATAGGAGCTGAAAGTGTCGATCCGTATTCCGTTCTCACTTGATTACGTAATATACTTTCCGCTATGAAGATATTTTCGTAACACGATATATACGTCATGGTATTACGTCACGAGAATGCACTTATTTTATTCTTACTAGTCTTCCTAGTATTCCTAGACATTTGAGATATTAGATATCTAAATATAGCAGATAGAGACGCTGATTTTCCAGTGAAATAAGTTTAGTATTTATTAAATAACTGTCAGACGATAGCTTTTTTTTATATAGAGAGCAAACGAGCCGATGGGTCTCCTGATGGAAAGTGACTACAGTCGCTCAGGCACTTTAAGAGACTTGTAAAATATCTCGTGCACTCATTACCAACCAAGAAGGACTTAACACATGCTAATTTTTTTTAAACTGTTTATTTATTGAATATTGTATGTTGGGCCTTGTCGATCTGGTAGATATTGTGTGTGATATCATATCATTGTGAATGCAGTTCTAGCTACAGAGTCAGATTGCACGGGAGACAGGTTTTCTATAAATAAATGGACTAGTGAACTTAAGCGGAACAACTATCTGTATATAATCTCGCCTACTAACGCAAATTGCGTACCTAATAGGTAGTTTGATTACATTATTTATTGATCTTCCAAAAGCGTTGTGTAGACCGAGGACGAAAAATTGAAGTTGTAGGCGTGATGTTAAAATAACGCTACTGAGCAATCAAACATAAGGAAAGTTGAAGCCTAATATACAGCGTCACAATACAATTAATTATTTTTTTGTATTAGATTGCATCCACTTCCAGTATCTAAAAATAAGAAAAAAGAAGGATCGATAAAAATGTTACTTGATTTAATAGAATGCTCAAGTTTAGTGACACTTTCATAACAGATTTTTAGACTACTACTACAGTGACCAAAAGGCTGTGTATTTTTAGTACTAAGCTATTAAATGTCGAACTTTCAAGAATCTCTTTTGTCGACTGTTATGGTATACGTGTGGGTGTAGTTGCGTTTAAATACATCATAGAACATAGAGAATGGCAACTCATTTAGGCTTGCTTCATTAGTATCAGAAGCTACGTTACGCTGTTGAAGCTCAAGCTTAAATAATCAGAATTTGTTCGGTATTCCGAAGAACAACCCAAAAGAACAAGATAATAAGACGATAGGTAAAGTGTCGAATCGAACCGATGTATTGCAATAAGGACGTGGCAACTCTACATGGGACTCATGTAGGTAGTTATGGCTATTGACCCCTTTTTTTGATTGATAAGCTTTGGTTGCGAATTAGAATTATATAGATTTTCTGGACATAAGCCTCTCCTTAGAAAGGAGGTTTAGGTTTTAGTCTAATATAATGTATAATACATATATTAAACTCAAAGTAACCATAAGCCATAGCCTCTTTACACGACCGCCAGAAGGAGGGATATGTTTTTCGTGTAAATTACGAGCCTTTTGGTCCAGTGGTTACTGACTATGACTGCTAAGCCGGAGGTCATGGGTTCGATTCCCATCCATTACAAATATTGTGTGATGAGCACGATCATTCGTTATGTATTTGGGGGTAAGATATGTTAAATATGTATGTATTTAGAAATATATGTTTATCAGCAGATTAGTTAACATAGTACAGGCTCTGCTTGGTTTGGAATTAGACTGCCGTGTGTAAGGTGTTAAGTTATTATTATTATATATGTATGTATATTTCATGGGTAAGCTGTGTAGCCTAAACGGTTGGCTGGATTTTGGTGTTTAAGGTGTCGTTAGATTCGTCTCAATTCTTTTCTTCTTTTATATTTTCAAATAAACGACACTCAACGCCATCTAGTTTCAAACTAAGCAGAGCTTGTACTATGAAAGCTAGATGGACTGATAGATACTTTTTTTTCTAAATTGTGAGAGTGACACTGTGTACTTGTGGATTTAAGTACCTATACATTTTTTTATTTTGTTTTTAATAGCTTGTTATATATTGACTACGGATGGTCAGAACAAAATTGGGACACTTCAGCTACAAGATAGTTTGTAACTCGGTTTTATCTATTTTGCAATACCGGGCAACAAGTTTATAGCGCAATACAGGCTCGACGTGTTTTATTAATGGAATACCTCTGCAGTGGTTATGCTTTTAGCCAATGATTAAATATGGCACTGAGAGCTTTTCGTAATTTAAATGCGATGTCATCTCAACGATTCCCTTTGAACATTTTTTAAATGTATTTCGCACATCTAAAACACAACGCCATCTAGTTTCAAACTAAGTAGAGTTTGTACTATGAAAATTAGATCGACTGAAAGAATACTATATAAATAAAAACATACATATTATACACAGAAAACACCCAAGCTCCGAAATATATATTTGCAGATCATAAAAACATTTGGTCCGACAGGGGAATCGAACCCGAGACCTCAACACAGCAGTCGCATACGCTACCCACTGCACCAACGAGGCAGTCAATTAAAAACATGAATAGTAGCTTTGAACATTTTTATATACATGATTTTCGCTAGTGCCAGTAATTAGTTAACACAAAATATATTCCATTGATCTCTGCAGACCCAATATACCTACTAACAGAAATACAATACTGTGCTAGAATGCTATGGACTTTTTACAGAGTATTTTCTTTCTAATATTAGGGAAAAACTTCAAATGTGTAAGCAATTTCGACAATATCTAAATACTTTTTGCGTCTTTTACCTATAGATATAGACTAAAGACTCAATTTGACTTAGTTGGAATGACTCAATGCCCGAGCCCCGCAGCTAATCAGTGTTACTTCTTTTAAAATGCAATTACTCGTAAGGACATCTTAGTAAACATTTTATTACCTTATGTGAAGAGTAGTACAGGCTGTCTTAGTAAGTGCACTTTTTAAATTTAGAATAATTTTATTTTCGTGCAAGTGGCAACTCTGAAATTTGACAGCTGTCACCAATGTTTATTACGATTATTAAAAATTGAGCGCTTTTCGAAAGAACAACGCGTTATAATTGTGAAAACTCATTACCCAGAACCAGAAAACTCATAACCCAGAAAATCTTCATGCAATCCGTGAGAAAAAAAAGCACCCACAACGACCAACTGTCTGGCGCGGATTTTGGTCAGGCGGCGTGATTGGGCCTTACTTTTTACACGCTTTATATTAGCTTCACTTGTATGTTTGTTTGTATGTTTGTAACCGACTCCTTTGGGCGTGATTTTGACTGACTTTAAACGGTCAGAATTCGTTTAAACTTTGTAGGTATATCGAGTACGGATGAAAATACACTAATTGAAAAAAAAAAATAGTTTTAAAAAACAAAAAAACAGGCTTTCTATAGAAAACCAAACTAAAAAATAGAAAATTAATTTTAAAAAAAGCGTTAGGTGCCTGTTGTCAATAGTAAAAAGCACCCCACACTGTTTTTCAAATTATATTTTTTTAATTATAATTATATATTATTATTTTTTAATATGAGGCCGAAATTGCAGTGACTGTGAACGGCATTCGTTACAGGAATATGATAACCGAGTTCTTGTGGCCACAACTGGACGAAATGAATCTGGACAACATGTGGTTTCAGCAGGACGGCGCCACCTGCCACACCGCGCATAAAACAATCGACTTATTGCAGCAACTATTGCCAGAATACATTATCTCACGAAATTCTGATGTCAACTGGCCACCAAGATCGTGCAATTTAACGGCGTTCGATGTTTTTCTGTGGGGTTTTGTGAAATCTCTGGTTTAAGCGAATAAACCAGAAACAATTCCTGAGCTCAAATCAGAGATCCAACGCGTCATCGGTGAGATACAGCCACATCTCTGTAAAAGTCATGAAAAGAGTAATGACCTGTCATCGGAGCCGTGAGTGCCATTTGCCAGCTATTTTATTCCATACTTAATCGGAACATGTCTTCTTTACAATCTAATAAAAATATCACAACTCTTTCATAAAATACGTGTTTTTATTTCAAAATGAATAAGTGCATTCTTACTGAGACAACCTTTATATCCCTGACGATAAACTACGCCTGTACTATTATTACTTGTGCAGCGACTGCTTACAATGTGCGGATGTTAAGTTTGGAGTAAACACTTATTTACATTCGCATTTTCTCACAATAACTGAATAATAACAATTTACTTAACAAATTAAACAAAGGTAATGTTATTAAGGTTTCTTTTTCTTTTAAATGTGTTGTTTATTTCCCATTATTTTTAAATTTACGGTTTAACTTTGTACATGTATCTACT